GAAAGAGTGTCCTCTTCAAACCCTTTTGCATCTTCAGAGGGATAAGCCTGTACCTAAAATGATGAAGGAGGGAGGCCACACACCTAGCCACCTGTACATCAAAGGGTGATAGCTGTGACAGCAAGATGACCGTCACACCAAACTTTGCCCAACAAAAGGTGAAAATCATTGGTTTGAGGTTCCCAAGGGGTCCTTGGAGTACTTTTGATGGAGACTCTTAGTGATAGGCACTCACTGGTCCACGATACTGGTGCTTCTTATACGTTAATGTACATGTGAATCACCTGGGGATCATGTTAAATGTCTAGATTCTGATTTAGTAGGCCTTGGGGTGGAGCTTACAGTTATGCATTTCTAACAAGCTCCCAGGTGACACTGATGCTGCCGATTTGTGGGGCTCACTTTGTAGATCTTCTGTTACTTGGCACAATATGGTCTATGATCCTTAAATTTATCACAAAGGTTTGATTATTTTGAAACTCTAAGTAGAAGACTCTCAATATTGTCTGCCTGCAAGCTCTTTGGAGCAAAGGGAATGAGCTATGTCTGGGTTGAATGCGCACTCAAAAGAGTGGGCGTATCCCAATCCTTAGAGAAAGTTCTATGGAAGAGATAAACTGCGTGGAGGCACATGCAGGCAAAGAAAGAGAAAGACCTGAAGGACCTTTCAGAATAGCAGCTCCAGGGGGAGATAAAAATCAAGAAAAAAGCCTTTGGACTAAGTTACAAAGAGATCACTGGAGGACTTTAACCTCAGTGTAGGAGTGGAGTGGACCCTGTGCTAAGAGGAAGGGTTAAGAAATGAGAGCAAGAAGCAGCCCTCACAATGCACTGCAGAATGTTGGACCACCAAAGGGACGGTGAGGTCAAGCTGGGATCTAAAAGCAAGAGAGCTTTTGCAGTACCTAAACAACCACTAGACAGAGCCAACTGAGAGAGATCAGTTATGTTAGGGAAGGCAAAGGGCTAAGCAAAAAGACTGAAGAAGCAAGGTTATAGGAGTAAAGAAAGGAAGAGAGAGTAGTTAGAGTTTGAAGGAGTGGAGGGAAGGTTAAGAATTTCTTTCCTAGGAACTTATTCTAAGAAAGTAAGTCAAGAGGAGGGGGAAAAAAGCTCTGTGTACAAAGGTATTCTTTGCCTAGTAACCAATAATAAACGGGACAAATCAAAAGAATATAAAGGTTTAAACATGAGAAGGCAGTTACACAAATTACGGCGTGTGGTTTGTAAACTTGAAGCATGCTAGGTCATTAAATCGTGCAAATTTGAATGCTACATTGTGCATCAAAAAGGTTTATGAAGTGAGGTACAGCAGGGAAAAAGCAGAATGTAAAATGTCTTTGCCCGATTTCAATAAAAATATATGGGTTTTTTCAGAGTAGAAGAAAACATGGAGAAATTTAGAAAATTTTGTTAGATAGTAGAATTATACATCATTTTATTTCCAGAATTCTTCTCTAATGCTACCATATTTTTTATTATTATGAAATACATGTCACATAATAAATTAGGGGGTGGCAAAGATTTTTCTATAAAGGTCCAGGCTGTAAATAATTTTCGGCTTTGCAAAACTAGCAAGGCTGTGTTCCAATAAAACTTCATTTGCAGCTACAAAAATTGGGATTCTATATGATTTTCACATCACAAATTATTCTTCTTTCAGTTTTTTTCCCAAATATTAAAATATGTAAAAACCATTCTTAGTTCACAGACCATACAAAAACAGTGCACCAGATTTGGCTCATGGGTAGTAGTTTGCCAACCCTGCAGTGAAGACTAAAGAATAGGGAATTCGCTGGCTGTCCAGAGGTTAGGACTCCACACTTTCACTGCCGAGGGCCCAGGTCCAGTCCAGGGTCGGGGACTAAGATCCTGCAAGCTGCGGGACTTCCCTAGTGGCGCAGTGGTTAAGAATCTGCCTGCCAATGCAGGGTACATGGGTTCAATCCCTGGTCCGGGAAGATCCCACATGCCACGGAGCAACTAAGCCCGAATGCCACAACCACTGAGCCTGCGCTCTAGAGCCTGCGAGTCACAACTACTGAGCCTGCGTGCCACAACTACTGAAGCCCACACTCCTAGAGCCCGTGCTCTGCAACAAGAGAAGCCACTGCAATGAGAAGCCTGCGCACCTCAATGAAGAGTAGCCCCTGCTCACCTCAACTAGAGAAAGCCCGTGCGCAGCAACAGACCCAACGCAGCCAAAAAAAAAAAAAAAAAAAAGATCCTGCAAGCCAAGAGGCCAAAAAAAAAAAAGAAAGAAAGAATAATAAATAACAAGATTAATAAACAAAAAACCTTATAAGTCCCCATTTTGCCCCTCCTTGATCCCATTCCCCTCTTTCTCCAGTGGAAACCAGGATCCACTCTCATCCATGTTGTCGACTTTTACTATATATGTGCGAAACTATAAACATGTTTTTCATGTTTTGAAACTATAAATAGCAACACACTGTACATATGCTTCAGCAACTGGGGTTTTTCACGCTGCATTCTGTTGACACAAGGAGCTCTTGTTTGTTCATCTTAACTGCCCTGTTGTGTTCCACTATGTAAATATTCCTCAGTTGTCATCGCCAGTTATTTTTATTTTGAACAGTGCTCAATTAACATTCTTTTACACATTTACCGTGTGCAAAATTTTCTCTACTGTGGTGTTTTTCAAAGTACAGTTTGTGGGCTTCCCTGGTGGCGCAGTGGTTGAGAGTCCGCCTGCAGATGCAGGGGACGTGGGTTCGTGCCCCGGCCCGGGAGGATCCCACATGCCACGGAGCGGCTGGGCCCGTGAGCCATGGCCGCTGGGCCTGTGCGTCCGGAGCCTGTGCTCCGCGGCCAATGGGAGAGGCCACAACAGTGAGAGGCCCATGTACCAAAAAAAAAAAAAAAAAAAAAAGTACAGTTTGTCAACTATTAGTGAGTTGACCCTAAAGGTTGCGACCTTCAATGAAATCAAATAGACAGGAACATATATATCTTAAAGTTACATAATGTGTCAATTATATCTCAAAAAAAAAAGAATAGACAGGATTAGAAAAGATCAGATCGTGTTACATGTAATAGGAAAAGGCATTGTTGTGCAAAATTTTAATTTCAACTTTATATGCACTTACACATACATGTGTTTGTGTGCGTTTATGTGTACTTGATTGTAATGTAAAATGTATTTCTTAGTAAGCGGTTGTCACAAAGTTTTAAAAACCCATTGCTTTAAGGTGCCTAGGGACACCCAAGAAAAATATTGCAGGATCACAGAATATGCACAGTTTCCACTTAACTAGACTCTGCAAAATGCTCTCTGAAATGGTTTTTCCAATTTATATTGGTCCTTACAGCAATGAGTGAGTTTCCATTGCTTCACATCCTCACCTGTAGTAGGTTTTTCTCATGGGATGTTAAATATACCACATACACGAAAGAATGTATAAAAACTAATGTGTATCCGCCTGCCAATGCAGGGGGCACGTGTTCGAGCCCTGGTATGGGAAGAACCCACATGCTGTGGAGCAACTAAGCCCGCAAGCCACAACTACTGAGCCCACGTGCCATGACTGCTGAAGTCCGCGTGCCTAGATCCCATGCTCCATAACAAAAGAAGCCACCGCGGTGAGAAGCCTGCACACGACAATGAAGAGTAGACCCTGCTTGCCACAACCAGAGAAAGCCCATGCAGAAACGAAGACCCAAAGCAGCCAAAAATATAATTAATTAATTAATTTAAAATTAATATGTATAGTTTGATGAATAATAATAGCATTTGCCTGCATGTACCCACTCCCCACACTATGCAACGACAGGACATCACCAGTACCTTAGATGCCTCTTGGAGGTCCCTTGCTCTGGGCATTCCCCTTTCTCCCTGCTTCAGGTGTTACCACTGTGCAGAATTTTGTATTAATCATCTTCTGTGTATTTATATTTTTCAACCTACGTTTGTAACCTTAAGTAAAGTATTGTTTATATTAATGATATTGTATGGTATCCATTCTCCTGTTGCTTGATTCTTTTTTTTTTGTCAATGCAATTTATATAACTTTAAAATTTTAGCATAATTTCAAACTTACAGAAAAGTCGCAAAAGCAGAACAAAAAATTCCTACACACCTTTACCCAAATTGGCTACTTATTAACATTTTGCCTCCTTTGCTTCATTACCAATGTAATTTTATAAACATGATAATGCAGAATAAAATGATTTCATAGCAATTATAATTAATCAATATTTTTTAAGACGGTTCAAACTCAAGGTAAAGGGAACACCACTTTGCTGCCAGGATCACCAAGTACAAATCTAACCACAGCCTTGAATTGGAAAGCTCACTGGATTCGACCAAATCTGAAGCCTATACATAACAATGGGTGACCTATGTCAGGACACCCGAAAGTTTCCAAAGTGACCATGGTGATGTCCATTTCAATATGAGCTTTTTTTCCAAAGGAGAATCACTCTAATGGCCTTTGAAAAAATAAATTATTGTTAAAACAATATTTTTAAAAAACCGTTGCAAATGAAAAAAGGACTCCTACCCAAAAAAGTAACTGAATGACAACAATCAACCCCCCAAACTTTCCGGCAATAGCAACCAATATGGCTACCACCCAGAAATCTCTTTCTGTTGTGACATTTGAATCTCCATTTCCTCTGGAAATAACAACAAAGCAGTTTCATTCCGATTATTTGGTATTTCTCAAAGCTAACCACGAGAGCCTACGTGACCTCATGACCTTCCACATTTGATTCCACAGATACCGCAATAATCACGTACCTGTGATTCCCTTAAAGGGCTGCATGTGGACAGACCTCCTTTCGGGGCTTGGAGAGGCAGTTGGGTTATAACTGGTTCATGTGGTGCAAAAGCTGTGGGGGAATGGGCTAAAACCACAGTCCTGGTGCAGACTGGAAGGCACCTAGGCACAGCTTTGTTGGAGGAGGACATCACCTGAGTACACAGCCTTCCCTGGGAGAATGCACTGTACAAACTCTTCACCAAGTGGTTATGCAGACACCTGACAGCAAGCAGACGCATTTCCTGGCTTCTTCAACTTGTTTCTGGTTGCCTTCAGCTCCTGGAAATACCACCTGGATTCCCTCAGTAAATGTCGGCCAGTGAAGTCACATGAAAAGATCGCTCCAATTCACTCTCATTGGTGGGTTTCCAAGGGTAGAAAAATACAGTCCGTGTCTCCTCAGTCATGAGAAAACCATTGTCACTGAATCTCCCTGGGATGCTTCCTACATCCAACCAAACAAAGGGAGCAACAGCTGAGGTTTTCAGATGAAAAACAAATGTGTCCCCTTGCTGAGAGATGGTGGCGGTGATATTTGCCTTGTGGAGCCCCTTGGCCTCCTTTGGTGAGGACAGGAAGTGATAGTTGGTTGGGCTCAAGAGCTCCCTGTCAGTTGACAGGTAAAAGGAAACCACACAGCTTTGTCGTGTACAATTTGTACATCCACTTAATAATTCAGCTACTGGCTTATCATAGAGAAGAGCAGACTCCCCTGCTTTCATCACAAAAGGCTTCGTCGTCTCAGAGCACACGGGCTCCAGGGAACTCCATGTGTGGACTCTCACAGTGAGCATCATCTTGTGGTCTGAGTGAAGGTCTGACACACCATAGATGAAAAACACATCTTCATTCTCAAAACCCACCGGCAACAGCGGAGCAAAGAAATGCCGAGCAAAATAATGAAGCATTTTCCACTTTCCTCCATACTTTAGAACTCAAAGTCTCCTTTTTCCACAGGCACAAAATCCTCTGAGTGAAACAAAGCAACCACAATCACAAATATGGCTAGTAAGTTCAGACTTAGTTACTAAATGGTGACACCCCCAGGAGATGATGACCCTCTCCTCGAATGCATTGTCCTGCCAGAGTTTAAAAGGCAGACAAATTCTTACTCTGCCATCATACTCCTAAATCCTTTCTGAAGAACACAGGGTCATTTAAGGGAAGAGTTACAAAGCCTGGGCTCTCCCATTTCTTAAACCGAACTCAGCTTCAGAAGACCACCACCACATCTGCTGACAGGAAGCAGGGTCAGGCTCCAAGTGTCTCTGAACAATATCTCTTTCTCCGGTTTAAGCGTCCCAGAAAGGCTATTCCCCCTGTTGCTTGATTCTTTAGACAACAGGATGGTTTTGAGATTTACCCTCATTTTCCACTGCTGTATAACATTCCATTTTATAAATAGCACAGTTTATCTATGTTACTACTGGTGAGCATTTAGTTGTTTCAGGCTGATCTGCAGCCTGAAGCAAGAGTGAGAAAAATAGATGCTTGTGGCTCTAAACCACTGGGTTTTTGCATTATTAGTGTTGCCATAACTGATTATTATAGAAGTGGAATGGAAGAAAAGTAGAAGAGAAAAGTCAGCTAGGTGTACTCTTTCAAGAAGCTTAGCTGTGGGGGAATTCCCTGGCAGTCCAGTGGTTAGGACTCTGCCCTTTGACTACCAAGGGCGTGGGTTCAATCCCTGGTTGGGGAACTAAGATCCCACAAGACACGTGGCGCAGCCTAAAAAAGAAAAAGAGAGAGAGAAAGAAGCAGCTTAGCTGTGAAGAGATTGAGAGGCTAGTTTCCTCCTCTTCCTCCCCCTCATCACTGTTGTTCTGTTTTAGTTCTTTAGTTGCCTGTAATATAAACCCCTTTCCCATGTACAGAGAATTTTTCACTCTATGAAACTTTGTGAGAAGCAGAGCTCACCTACCAGTATTGCAGCTAAAAATGGCAGCTACTTAGTTTTCCATCCTTCCTTATGAATTAAGTCATATGCACATGTCATAGGCTCTGCTAATAAAATTTTCCCAAACTAGACTTTGAATCAGGAGGAGCTTATGAGGCAAAGAGAACAAGAAAATCCATTCTTGGTGGGCAGTGCCAGCTATGACAGCAACACCCAGTTTGGGGGAATAGCTCTGGCAACAGCAACATCTAGAGTCTGGTGCTAGAAGGCCTCTCTCTCAGTGTAACTATGGCATCAAATGCTCATTGCTGGCAGCAGCAGTGTCTTCAGTGGCCCAGCCCTGTGGTGTGATATTGGCTACCATCCTGTAAGCAAAACCTCTGAATGTGGTGTGGTAGACTGATGGCATTCATGCCCCAATTCTTCACCTCTCCCTGCATCCGTATTATCTTGTGGGACCTTCTCATTCTTTTTTTTTTTTTTTTTTAATTTTTATTTATTTATTTGGCTGCACTCAGTCTTAGTTGCAGCATGCGGGATTTAGTTCCCTGACCAGGGATCGAACCCAGGCCCCCTGCATTGGGAGCACAGAGTCTTAACCACTGGACCACCAGGGAAGTCCCATGGGACCTTCTCATTCTGACTCTGGACTGACTATTGTGACTTGCTGCGATCAATGGATGTTCACAAACATTACACAAGCAGAAGCTTGAAAAGCACTCGGGTGGCTGCACTTGCTCTCTGTCTTAGTCTGTTTGTGATTCTATAACAAAATACTACAGACTGAGTGGCTTGTAAACAACAGAAATTTTTTTCTCACAGTCTGGAGGCTGGAAGTCCAAGATCAGGGTGCCAGCATGGCCGGATTCTGACAAAGTCTCTCTTCCGAGTTGCAGACTGCTAACTTCTTGCCATGTCGTCGCATAGTGGAAGGAGCAAAGGATTTCTCTGGGATCTCTTCATTCAGGAGGGCTCCACCATCATGACCTAATCACCTCCCAAAGGCCCTTCCTTCTAATACCATCCCATTGGGCATTAGATTTTCAACATATGAATTTGGGGAGGACAAAAGCATTCAATCTGTAGCACTCTCACTGTTGTCCTCTGCCATTGCCATTACAACATGTCTAGGCTAGCCTGTTGGATGATGAGAAACATGTGGCCCTAGGCCAAGTCTCCCTGAGTTATCCCAGCTGAGGCCATCCTAGACCAGCCACCAGCCAGTTGACCCTCAGGCATATGAATGAGCTCAGCCAAAATCAACAAAACTGTCTAGCCAACCAACAGTTGACCCCAGACACTCGAGTGAGCCCAGCTGAAATCAGCCCAGCTCAGCCCAGCCCCAGATAAGCTGAACCCCACAGACTTGTGAACAAAGTACTGTTCATTGTTACATGCCACTGAGGTTTTGTGGTTGTTTATGTAGCATCATTGTGGCAATAGAAAACTGGTCCTTTCCACACATCTATGAGCTATGCCTTTTCTGCTTAAATCAGCCAAGAGCCAGTATCTGTTGCTTGCCCTAACACAAAGCCTGAATGTAAATCAGAGAGAGACACAGGGTCAAAGGAGAGATTGTTTGAGCTGGGAAAGACTTTGGCATGCTTACAGGCAGAGGATTGGAGGCAATTGCGTTTATTAGGATATAAGTTTGGCTGCAAAATAACAGTGCTTTAAACATGATGGGAGTTTATAGTTTCCCTCTCTCATGTAAGAGCCTAAGTAAGTGGGCAGCCCTGCTCTGGGAATCTTCAGAAGCCTAGATCCTTCTCTCTGTGTTTATCATGTCCTTGCCCAGTTGGTCTGAGATGACTCCCTACTCCATCCACATTTCAGCCATTGGCAAGAGGGAAAGGGAAGACATGACTTTCTCCTGAACACCTGGTGGTTACATTCATTTCTCCCCCTTCCAACCCACTCTCAGAGACCGGCCACACAGTTACACCCAACTGCAAGGGAGGCCAGGAAAGGCAAACCTTATTCTGGCCAATCATGTGTATATCTAAAAATCCTGCTTCTGTGGAAGAAGGGGCAAACAGATAGCAAGAGTTCTTGCCATGTCATTGGGGAAGAAGGGATAATTAATGGAACAGGATCTCTGTGGTAGACTTTATTAGCCATTTCCTTCCTTCTTCCCCGTTAAGGGGACTCATCTTTTGGAGAGGTGAGGCAACTGTGTTCCCAGTCTGGGCATAACTCATGATATGTCTAAACTAATGATGGCAATTCTACTCAGCTTTGTCAGGAACTGGCTTCCCCAACCTCCCCTGCAGCTGTGGGTGACCATGTGACCCAGTTCTGGCCAGTGAGCCATGAAGGGAAGGCTGCTGGGGGGTTCTAGGAAGTGGTTTCCTTCCCATGGAAGAGACAAATGCAGAGCAGAGCTTACTGTCGCACTCCTGTTTGTGATACTGGTGTGAGGCTTATAACCATAAAAGAAAGGCCAAGAGAATTACAAATGCCAAACTAGAGCCCTGGCACCTTCTTGAGGATTCCAGTGACGGTGAGGGATGAGTATGAGTGAGCCAGGTGGAGAAGGGGAGAAAAGATATTTGAGAAAGTAAGAGTATTATAAACATGAGAAGGAATGCTCAGAGATGTTCCTGGAAAGTTGGACTGGAGTCAAATCGTGAGGACTTTGTATGCAGCAGTGTGATTTATTGTCAGAATTGCCTCATTCAGAGTTGGGGCTGGTTTCCTGCTTCTTGGTTGATACACCACCAAAGCATGACAGGCATTTTTCCTTTGTAGGTTTAAGATGACTGAGAATCTCTTTGCCCGTTGGAGAGTTAAAATACTTTTGTTTTGGAAAATCTAGGCTCTCAAAGGCAGAGATCTAGATGATGTGGGTGGGTAGTGGGTGTAGATTTGAAAAGATGAGGGAGAAGGGAATCATTCCCAACCCCTACAGCAAGTGGGATTTCCCTACCCTTGGGGAATGGAGAGGTGCCTGGCTCTGACCACCTTGGGGCCTGTGTTTGACTCCCTCCCAGACCCCAGAGTGACAGGATGTCTGTGTGGACCCCAGGCTGGGGACTGAGCTGTGAGCCACAACCTTTGGGGCTGTGGACAGTGGGACCACTGAGGCTAGGACATCAAGCCTCTCGCAGTGAGCAGCCACACCAGCCTGAAGTCTAGAGCCCTTCCTTGAGTTTCCAGGATTGGATGAACTTGGGAGTTCTATGTGACCCCAGCAAGGAGAGAGGGGGGTGAAAACAAACAACAAAAAAAACTGATTGAGATAGAATTTCTCCCTAACTCCTTGAGGAAGACAACTGAGTCCGATTTGATATTATTTTTTAAAAATAAAGGGAATTCCTCCCTGGCGGTCCAGTGGTTAGGACTCTGTGCTTCTACTGCAGGGGTTACAGTTTCAATCCCTGGCTGGGGAACTAAGATCCCACAAGACATGTGGAAATATAAAATAAAATAAAATAAAATAAAATAGGATAAAATAAAATAAAATGAAATACTGCTTTCTTGCATTAGAGTGTCCAATTATGGTACGAACTGATTCTGTGGTATACAAAGCCAAAGGAAAGGAAGTAAGAAGAGGTTATAAATTATCTCAGTAGCTTTTTTATTTAAGTCGATAGATTTTCTTACAAGAGACTGCAGAAGATGTGTCTCTAAGAGCTCATATATGCAAAGTATTCATTTTCATTTTTTTTTAAAATAAATCTATTTATCTGGGCCTACATTGGGTCTTCGTTGCTACACACAGGCTTTCTCTAGTTGTGGCGAGCGGGGGCTACTCTTTGTTGCGGAGCATGGGCTCTAGGCATGCAGGCTTCAGTAGTTGTGGCTCGCAGGCTCTAGAGCACAGGCTCAGTACTTGTGGTACACAGGTTTAGTTGCTCCGCTGCATGTGGGATCTTCCCAGACCAGGGCTCGAACCTGTGTCCCCTGCATTGGCAGGCAGATTCTTAACCACTGCACCACCAGGGAAGCCCCTCATTTTCATTTTTAAAAATCCAATTAAATTGGCCGGACACTGCCAGGCTAGAAGGAAATCCAATCTCCATTATT